GTGAGCGAGATCGCAGCACCTGTGATGGACGAGCAGTTGGGCTGGGATTCGTAGAAGTCCACGAGGACAGTCTTTGCTGTTCGAATTCCTTCCTCAAAGTTGCGAACTGGCGCATCATAGCCGCCCGCAGTGTACAAATCTGTATCTAGGAGGACATTGTACTTCCTCCAGACTCGGTCGCTCAAGAACTGCCTGCCAATCGTCTCCCAAGCCCTCCGAGCCACGTCCACGCGGGGCACAATTGACCGTGTAGATCGGCCGCGGTGTGTGTGCCTCGACAAGAACAGATTGAATGCCTTTTGGGCAACCCCAGGAGACAATGAGGCTCGCTGCTTTGCAAGGACCCTGTAGGCATTTCGGTGCGTACTTCGGTTGAAAGACCACATTAGGCGGGCTCGTCGCCGATCAATCACGTCAAAGTTAATACCCGATGCACGCAACGCGCGCGAGATTCGCTTGAGTCTTGCTTCCCCCCTCGGACCGGTGAAGCGGTTCACGACCATGACGCGAACCTCACTTAGGTTATGGTCCCGAGCGGCTCCCACGACCCCCCCAGCACCCGAGCTGCACGGCACGACCGCTCGTTCGAACATTAGCGGCACAAATAATTATTCCTGTGGGTCGTGTAAGTGTGTTTGTACACTACATACGTTAATGCACATTCACGTACGCGCCGCCGGTCTGTCATGGCCACGGTTCCAAATTCCATTCTCCATTCACACGTATCCGTAAACGTAGAACTTGCACACCGTCAGCCCCGTCGCAGACGGCCGGTTGAGGTAGATGTAGCGCCCCAACGCGTTGATCTCCACCTCCAACATCACGTTCGACAACACGCTCACGTCTGACTTCACCAGCGCGTTGCCCGTGTACGTCTCTGCCGTCGTGCCGAGATAGATGTCAATGCCGGTCAGACGATGTGGGCAGCAGTCGTTGCGGTTCTGCAGCCGCACGTAGCGCACATACACCTCGCTCCCGAGGTCGACGCCCCACCACTGGCTTGTGTATTGGCCGCACTCGGCCCACGGCCGTCCCGTCGTGCTGTCGGCGTATGACAGGTCGCTCACGGGCGCCTGCTTGTCGAACAAGCTCGAGTCCTGGTACGTGGTGGCGGCGCGGAGGTCGAGCAGCTGCACGTCAGGCGGCGGCGGCGACGGCGAGGCGGACGGCGGCGGCGGCGACGGCGAGGCGGACGGCGGCGGCGCAGGCAAGGCGGAGGGAGGCGGCGGCAGAGGCGGCGGCGGCGACGGCGAGGCGGACGGCGGCGGGGAGGGAGAGGCGGAGGGAGGCGGTGGCGACGGCGACGCGGAAGGAGGTGGCGGGGAGGGAGAGGCGGAGGGAGGCGGCGGCGAGGGCGACGCGGACGGAGGCGGCGGCGACGGCGAGGCGGAAGGAGGCGGCGGCGAGGGCGAGGCGGACGGAGGCGGTGGCGATGGTGAGGCGGACGGCGGCGGGGGCGAGGGTGATGCCGAGGGAGGCGGCGGCGACGGCGACACGGATGCCGGCGGGGGTGACGGCGATGCTGGGGGCGGCGGGGGCGACGGCGATGCTGAGGGCGGCGGCGGCGACGGTGAGGCGGACGGAGGCGGCGGCGACGGCGAGGCGGATGGCGGCGGCGGCGACGGCGAGGCCGACGGAGGCGGCGGGGACGGCGACGCGGAGGGAGGCGGTGGCGACGGCGACGCGGAAGGAGATGGACCATTGCGATTTCCTGCGAAGACGTAGAACTTGCACACCGTCAGCCCCGCCGCAGACGGCCGGTTGAGGTAGATGTAGCGCCCCAACGCGTTGATCTCCACCTCCAACATCACGTTCGACAACACGCTCACGTCTGACTTCACCAGCGCGTTGCCCGTGTACGTCTCCGCCGTCGAGCCGAGATAGACGTCGACGTCCGTCAGCCGCTCCGCGCAGCAGTCGTTGCGGTTCTGCAGCCGCACGTAGCGCACATACACCTCGCTCCCGAGGTCGACGCCCCACCACTGGCTTGTGTATTGGCCGCACTCGGCCCACGGCCGTCCCGTCGTGCTGTCGGCGTATGACAGGTCGCTCACGGGCGCCTGCTTGTCGAACAAGCTCGAGTCCTGGTACGTGGTGGCGGCGCGGAGGTCGAGCAGCTGCACGTCAGGCGGCGGCGGCGACGGCGAGGCGGACGGCGGCGGCGGCGACGGCGAGGCCGACGGAGGCGGCGGGGACGGCGACGCGGAGGGAGGCGGTGGCGACGGCGACGCGGAAGGAGATGGACCATTGCGATTTCCTGCGAAGACGTAGAACTTGCACACCGTCAGCCCCGCCGCAGACGGCCGGTTGAGGTAGATGTAGCGCCCCAACGCGTTGATCTCCACCTCCAACATCACGTTCGACAACACGCTCACGTCTGACTTCACCAGCGCGTTGCCCGTGTACGTCTCCGCCGTCGAGCCGAGATAGATGTCGACGTCCGTCAGCCGCTCCGCGCAGCAGTCGTTGCGGTTCTGCAGCCGCACGTAGCGCACATACACCTCGCTCCCGAGGTCGACGCCCCACCACTGGCTTGTGTATTGGCCGCACTCGGCCCACGGCCGTCCCGTCGTGCTGTCGGCGTATGACAGGTCGCTCACGGGCGCCTGCTTGTCGAACAAGCTCGAGTCCTGGTACGTGGTGGCGGCGCGGAGGTCGAGCAGCTGCACGTCAGGCGGCGGCGGCGACGGCGAGGCGGACGGCGGCGGCGGCGACGGCGAAGCGGACGGCGGCGGCGCAGGCAGGGCGGAGGGAGGCGGCGGCAGAGGCGGCGGCGGCGACGGCGAGGCGGACGGCGGCGGGGAGGGAGAGGCGGAGGGAGGCGGTGGCGACGGCGACGCGGAAGGAGGTGGCGGGGAGGGAGAGGCGGAGGGAGGCGGCGGCGAGGGCGACGCGGACGGAGGCGGCGGCGACGGCGAGGCGGAAGGAGGCGGCGGCGAGGGCGAGGCGGACGGAGGCGGTGGCGATGGTGAGGCGGACGGCGGCGGGGGCGAGGGCGATGCCGAGGGAGGCGGCGGCGACGGCGACACGGATGCCGGCGGGGGTGACGGCGATGCTGGGGGCGGCGGGGGCGACGGCGATGCTGAGGGCGGCGGCGGCGACGGTGAGGCGGACGGAGGCGGCGGCGACGGCGAGGCGGATGGCGGCGGCGGCGACGGCGAGGCCGACGGAGGCGGCGGGGACGGCGACGCGGAGGGAGGCGGTGGCGACGGCGACGCGGAAGGAGGTGGACCATTGCGATTTCCTGCGAAGACGTAGAACTTGCACACCGTCAGCCCCGCCGCAGACGGCCGGTTGAGGTAGATGTAGCGCCCCAACGCGTTGATCTCCACCTCCAACATCACGTTCGACAACACGCTCACGTCTGACTTCACCAGCGCGTTGCCCGTGTACGTCTCTGCCGTCGAGCCGAGATAGATGTCGACGTCCGTCAGCCGCTCCGCGCAGCAGTCGTTGCGGTTCTGCAGCCGCACGTAGCGCACATACACCTCGCTCCCGAGGTCGACGCCCCACCATTGGCTTGTGTAGTGGCCGCACTCGGCCCACGGCCGTCCCGTCGTGCTGTCGGCGTATGACAGGTCGCTCACGGGCGCCTGCTTGTCGAACAAGCTCGAGTCCTGGTACGTGGTGGCGGCGCGGAGGTCGAGCAGCTGCACGTCAGGCGGCGGCGGCGACGGCGAGGCGGACGGCGGCGGCGGAGAGGGCGAGGCGGACGGCGGCGGCGCAGGCAGGGCGGAGGGAGGCGGCGGCAGAGGCGGCGGCGGCGACGGCGAGGCGGACGGCGGCGGGGAGGGAGAGGCGGAGGGAGGCGGTGGCGACGGCGACGCGGAAGGAGGTGGCGGGGAGGGAGAGGCGGAGGGAGGCGGCGGCGAGGGCGACGCGGACGGAGGCGGCGGCGACGGCGAGGCGGAAGGAGGCGGCGGCGACGGCGAGGCGGACGGAGGCGGTGGCGATGGTGAGGCGGACGGCGGCGGGGGCGAGGGCGATGCCGAGGGAGGCGGCGGCGACGGCGACACGGATGCCGGCGGGGGTGACGGCGATGCTGGGGGCGGCGGGGGCGACGGCGATGCTGAGGGCGGCGGCGGCGACGGTGAGGCGGACGGAGGCGGCGGCGACGGCGAGGCGGATGGCGGCGGCGGCGACGGCGAGGCCGACGGAGGCGGCGGGGACGGCGACGCGGAGGGAGGCGGTGGCGACGGCGACGCGGAAGGAGGTGGACCATTGCGATTTCCTGCGAAGACGTAGAACTTGCACACCGTCAGCCCCGCCGCAGACGGCCGGTTGAGGTAGATGTAGCGCCCCAACGCGTTGATCTCCACCTCCAACATCACGTTCGACAACACGCTCACGTCTGACTTCACCAGCGCGTTGCCCGTGTACGTCTCCGCCGTCGAGCCGAGATAGATGTCGACGTCCGTCAGCCGCTCCGCGCAGCAGTCGTTGCGGTTCTGCAGCCGCACGTAGCGCACATACACCTCGCTCCCGAGGTCGACGCCCCACCACTGGCTTGTGTATTGCCGCACTCGGCCCACGGCCGTCCCGTCGTGCTG